GACACAAGTCTTTCGTCTAGAGAAATTTTGTTTTCCAGTTTTACCTACAGGGTTTTAATTTCTGTGATGCTATTTTTTCGTAAGAATAATTTAATTTTAGAATAATTTTATAGCAAGTTGAAAATTTTAAAATTAATTTTTGTATTTAACTGTGATATCTGCAGACAGCTCTAGATATAATCTCCGACTTAATCTCGTAAAGTCCAAATGTCATCTAAATAAATTTAATAATTCATTCCGTAATTCAAACTAACACATCTCCATGACAACGAGTAGCTGGTTAATGGTATTTAGTGAAATAATCGCTACTCGCCGTAATGATTACCCGAAACCCATAAACGCCGTCTGTGGGTAAACTTAGTTACTACTGTCCTTAAATTGGTTAATAAAATATATATTAACCTTAATCAAAGCACACTTGCGCACGTGTTTCTGTAAATGCTTGATAACACTAATTATTATTTACACAGCACTTAGATGGGTATTGACTTTTTCCTGTGACGTGATTGATTGAACCTCCCGTTAAATTCGTTCCATTCCAGCTCTTGACTGATCTCCTAGTACAGGGATCATACGTTCGAATACCGTTTAATATTACGATAAACCACGACATTGAATCTCCGAATTAGATACCCCATATTTAATTCAATGCGAATGTTAAACACACATTTTCCACGTCTCTTAAATATTAACATTGCATTGTTTTTTCATTGGTAATATACAAAATTGAAATATTGGGTGACTATAGCCTTTAATTAATGAATAATTACGAAAACGTTCCACTGCCGATGCCATGAGAAAAGCGTGTTTTGTCTATTCATAGCGTCCATCCACTTTCTAGACATATTCAGTGTCTTAGAACTCTAGCGGACACCACCTAGAACGCATGAAGATTGAGGGAGCCGGGACATCATTTCTGATGGCGCACATGTAAATGATTTTGGAATTATATTCTTGGTTTTCTTTTAAAAACAGCTTAAGTTGGCTACAAATATTACACTGTACAAGATGTGGCATATGTTTATTATTAAAACCGGTTTAAAGTTTATTGAAGATATTTCGAATCTCACCTGGATACTTTTGAGACGCGTCCAAAAATATATTTATTTTTATAATTATTGTGATGCATAAAATAAATTAAGATAAAGAGTATCCGGATAATTTAATACGCGTGTTTTTTCTAATATAAGTTGTATTTTATTAACATATGATAACAAGCTCAGAAGATACACGGAATTAGGCCCATAAGCAAAGTTGAAATTACATTAATTTTTTTTTCGAAAAAGCGACTGTAGAGTGCAGGGTGCTTAACTAATTGTGAAGTGCGCTGGTCTTCAAGACATTTTTAGCGGCCACTGGACCATTAACTGTTTCTACCTGGGGGGGGGACAGCAATCGGTCTCTTGAAATGGGGTTAACGTGGCACATTGTAATTATTATTTAATAAGTTTATTATTACAATGAACCATACGTATAAATGTCAGACGTTAACCGGTGCATACAATGTCTTACGAGAAATTTGCAGTACCACGGAAGTATGTAATAGCCCAACTCATTATAAAAAAACCTGTTACCATTAATGAATTCTCTGTAACATGATATCAGAGATAATAATAATAATAATAATTTCATAAAATAAAATTATATAATACATGTGGCACTTGCTATGTACCTATGTACCTTAGGGACAAGGTCTGTCTCAGGTACATGGAAGTACATACCCCATAAAGTGGTGAATACATGGGATAATAATAATAATAATAATAATAATAATAATAATAATAATAATAATAATAATAATAATAATAATAATAATAATAATAATAATAATAATAATAATAATAATAATAATAATAATAATAATAATAATAATAATAATAATAATAATAATAATAATAATAATAATAATAATAATAATAATAATAATAATAATAATAATAATAATAATAATAATAATAATAATAATAATAATAATAATAATAGTCTGCTTACAGAAATAGAAGGTGAATTTGGTTTTAATGAAATATAAATTACGAAATATTAAAGTAGGCGTGTATGTTACTATCAAAATTACCCGTTCTTCCTTAGGGTCTTTATTAAAATAACATTTATTGAAATAAATACAATTCTACAATTATCTTAACCATCTCCTTTTAATTATCATTTTATTTTGCACACGATTCTCACCGCACTAAAAGGAACAAATATTAAATTATTATTACTTAATAAATTCGGATCTGAAATTCAAAAGAATGTGACGTAACACACGTTGCCTACTCCCGTGGCAGTGATCGTCTTATGCATTAAATGGTTGTCAAACAGCGAAACGCGATCGACGGTTTTCTGACGCGCCAAAGGCAAGAGAGAAGTTTAATTATATCCCCTGTGAATCGGCGCCGATAATAACTGGGTCATAATTGTGTTAATGAATGGTCCATTCCTGTGACACTGAAGTCAGCGTCCACAAGAAATAATGTGGCCCTGGAGGGAGAGGAGATTCCGTATGCCATTTTCGCATGAGCGTCGTTTCTTGTATCACATTCAGTGGCTTGGTTTGTGGAAATTTCCACTGGTAAAACAAAGAGATACATTTCTTAAGACTGTAATAGATTCCTGCTTTGTGAAATGTCGAACACCTTACAGGAATGTTTACTCAGATACACCGTTTTAATTGGGATTGTTTTTTTTCTATTTTCCAAATGCACGCACACTTGTGATTTTCTCACTAATTAATTTTCTTTCACCTGAATATCTGATTAATTTTCTTCCATTTGTATACCTAAATATGATCGTATTAGCAGCTGCGTGGACGTGCTCCCCTGGTAAAAGTCACTAGAAATGTGTTTCATTACGTCAGAACATATCCTTCTGAGAATAATTATTTAATCACTTAAAATTGTGGCCAAGGTTCTAGAATAATGTAACTGCTCTATTTTAAAAAAAACAAGTTTTAATAAAACAGACTTTTTATTGGACAACTTTTGAATTCCAACACACATCGCTGGTTCATACAAATTTACTTTTAACAATTTCGTAAACGATTATTTGTGATAAATTTGT